CCCCAAAACCCCAAAACCCCAAAACCCCAATATAAATCTTTGGATAGAATATATAATAATCTCATTGGATCTTACAAGTAATGGTTCATGAGGCTGACAGATTCTTCGTATGTGATGAACACGATTGCGTTTACTGGAAAAGCACGAACTAAACAGGGAGTGAGTCCTTTGAAGAGCTTGCCTACTCCATATTTGTGATAGATATATTTCCCTGTTCTGAAAGTTCCTCTATGTCCTGGATGGTATTGAATATAACTTTTGATAACATCTAATGGATAAGAAATTGCCCAGATTAGTTGCCCTGCAAACCCTCCAGCTACCATTTTCCCAATGATGTTCTGCATACTTTTTCTATCAGAGTCTTCTTTCTCACAAAACTTCTTTCAAAGATAGTCATAAGCATAAAAATAAATTCCATAAGTCGGGACATCCCTCCATATGGTTGGCCCAAATGCTGAAAACAATCCTCTAATACCTTCACTTCTTGTTATTTGCCAATAAGTTTGTGTTTTCCCAGCATTGCCTTGTCTTTTGACTTTCAATAACTCAATTGGACAGTTGACTATTCAGCTCATAAATCCACCAAAACATCCACTCCAAAACACTTTATTTTCTTCAGATATCCCAATATTCTTCATAGCTCTAACAGCTATAGCATTGCTAGCAAACAGAACTGCATTCACAGGAGCATTCCCGAGCACAGGTGGAAGCGCGCCCTTGAACAGCCCTCTGATCCCTTCTTCTGCGACAATTTTCTTAAAAATCCCAACACTTCCTTTTAATCTCTTCCCATCAGCGACTTGGATCCTGACCTTAATAGTATCAAGTGGGTGGCCTACGTATGTAGAGATAGCTCCAGAGGTAAAGCCAGCTGTGAAGTCAATTGAGACTCTTTTTAATTTAGATTTCTCAGCGGGAGAGTCCATTTCTTTCAAAAGTTTAAAATTACATTTAAGTTCAGAATTAAGCGGATGTGAAGGGGTTTTGGGGTTTTGGGGTTTTGGGGTTTTGGGG